TAACAACATAATCTATTCATTGAAATGAGTGGTGTGCGACATGGGGCAGCCCTTTACGGCAACATTTGTCTCAGTTCTCCCACATGCAAAGGAACAGAAAGAAGAGCAATGATCAATAAAGGCCTATAGCAAGTAGATTTAAAAATTCTAACAACAATCAATGCATGTAAAGTCTTCACTAGACTTGGTATTAAAAATGTTTAAGCATTATCTCTAAAAAGAATAAAAACCTCCATTAAATATGTGGCAATGCTCCCAAATAAGTAAAGGAAAAGGAAAGGATAAAAAAGTTAATATGTATGTAAAAAGTCTTAACTTTATCACTACTTAAGTATAAACATTATGGCATTGGATAGTAAACTTGTCCCTTCTCAGGCTTACTACCAATGAAGACTATTTCTATGAATCTTTTGTTAAGTGTTGGACTACAGTATTATTTTTCATACTGGAGGCCCAGGGCACAGATTCGTGCATCATCGGAGATCCCTTGGCCTGGACTTCACCCTCTCTCAATCCGGTACCCCTCAGGGATGTCAGACTGCCAGTTTTGGCCTGACCCCTGCAGGCCAGGCCAAGTGACCCCACCAGTGTATGTACCCGTACACCAGGCCTCTAGTATGCATATAAGATCATTGGTTAATCTCCTCTAGATCTCCCTTCCTTCTGAGATTTGTCAGTCTGTTCCATGTTTCCATGACTCTGATTCTATTTTATCTATCAGTTGATATTGTTCATTACATTTCTTATCTATTTATTTTTATTTTTAGATTCAATTGTTGATAGATATGTATTTATTGCCATTTTATTGTTCATGTTTTTAAACTTTTTTTCTTCTTTTTCTTCCTCTTCTTGAAGAATACCCTTTAACATTTCATGTAATACTGATTTGGTGGTGATGAACTTCTTTAGCTTTTTCTTGTCTGGGAAGGGCTTTATCTGGCCTTCAATTATAAATGACTAGAGGCCCAGTGCACAAAATGTGCACTTAGGAAGGGTCACCTCAGCCTGGCCTGCACCCTCTCACAGTCTGGGAGCCCCTGCCCACACCGGGGCTCCACGATGGGTCGACCCAAAGAGGGAGTCCCCTCCTACCTGCCACAGTGCTGCTGCTGGGTAGCCTGGACTTCCCTTGTTGGGGCAATCGATCGCGCTCTACAGAGGGAGGCCCTGCCCACTCATCACAGCCTGCTGGTCAGTGGCCTGGGCCTTCCTCTGTGGGGCAATCATGGGGTGATGGTGGGGTCCCCAACCAATCACATCGCACTGTCTTGGCTGGCCTGGCGCCAGTGGGTGTCATAGCATGGTCATTCAGATTGTCATTCCACTGTTTGGCCTTTCGGTCATTTTGCATATTATGCTTTTATTATTATAGATAGCTTTGGTGGATTGAGTAATCTTGGTTGTAGGTCCTTGCTATTCATCACTTTGAATATTTCTTGTCAATCCCTCCTGGCCTGCAAAGTTTCTGCTGAGAAATCAGCTGATAGTTGTATGGGCATTCCCTTTTAGGTAACTAACTGCTTTCTTTGTGCTGCTTTTAAGATTCTATATTTGTCTTTAAACGTTGGCATTTAATTGTGATGTGTCTTGGTGTGGGCCTCTTTGGGTTCCACTTGTTTGGGACTCTCTGTTCTTCCTGGACTTGTAAGTTTATTTCTTTCACCAGGTAGGGGAAGTTTTCTGTCATTATTTCTTCAAGTAGGTTTTCAATATCCTGCTCTCTCCCCTCTCCTTCTGGCACCAACATAATGCGAATGTTGGTACACTTAAAGTTGTCCCAGAGGCTCCTTACACTATCTTCACATTTTTGGATTGTTTTTCTTTTTGCTCTTCTGATTGGGTGTTTTACTTTTTAATATATTTTTATTGATTTCAGAGAGAAGGGGAGGGAGAGATAGAAACATCAATGATGAGAGAGAATCATTGATCAGCTGCCTCCTGCATGCCCTCCACTGGGGATCGAGCCCACAAGCTGGGCATGTGCCCTTGACCAGAACTGAACCCAGGACCCTTCAGTCTGCAGGTCAACGCTCTATCCACTGAGCTAAACCAGCTAGGGCTGATTAAGTGTGTTTTTGTTTCTGCATATTCCAAATCATTGATTTGATTCTTATAATCCTCTACTCTACCATTGATTCCCTGTAAATTATTCTTTATTTCAGTTAGTGTATGCTTAATTTCTGACTGATCCTTTCTCATGTCTTTGAAATTCACACTAAGATCCTCAAAAGTCTCACTTAGTCCCTTGAATAGCCTTATGATCATTTTATCTGATCATAAATTAAGAGATTAATTAATGACTTAATTTAGCTCTCATTAAGTTCCTTGAAGGACCTTATGACCATTGTTTTGAGCTCTGTATCCAGTAGATTGCTTGCACCCATTTCTTTCAGTTGTGACATGTTTCTTTGTCTCCTCATTTTGGCTGCTACCCAGTGTTTGTTTCTATGCCTTAGGTAGAGTTGCTATGTCTCCTGGAATTGGTAGAGTGGCCTTGTGTAGTAGGTGTCCTGTAGGGTTAGTGGCTCAGTTTCCCAGTCACCTGGGTTGTGTGCACAGTCTTGATGTAGTTGATTGCTATTGGTGTTGCTGGGAGGAATTGACCTCCAGGCCAATTAGCTGTGAGGACCAGCTGTGACTACAGTGAAATAGCTGCACACATGCTGTGTAGGAGACATCCCTATGGAGCAGAATTTGCTTAGTGGAGCTGTGGTGCTCACTGAGTCTGACCCTCGAGTGTGTAGCATGTGGATGTGTAGAGTTGTAATCTAGTATGGCCTGAAGCTGCCCACTGGTACACTGGCTCTAGGATTTCTGGAAGATGCAAAGTCAGCCACTGCCTGAGGCCACCAGTTAGGAGCTACAGAGAGATCTGCAGATGTCTGCTACTTGTATTGGGCTTGGAAGTGCCAGGGGAGGCTCAGCTGTGAAGCAAGGCAGGCTGATGCTAGTGCCAGGTATTGGGCCTTTCATTGATAGGTTTGGGGCATGTTGATGCCAGCTGCTGCTCGTTTGAGTGATTTTAGCAAAGTCTGAAACCTAAGCCTGGACAGGCCATTCATATGTAAAAGCCACTGCAAACAGCAATGGGTGAGGCTGCAAATTAGATGGGACAGGGTCTCAAGGAATCACCAGGGTGGAGGGGACAGTGTGGGACACATTGATGGCAGCTCATATACGGCTTCCAGTCAACTGTGCAATGGGTGAGGTCCCAGCACAGTAACAATGACTTCTGTGAGCACTCCTATCTGGGAGAAAGCTGTCCCCGATTTCCTGCCTTGATGCTAGACAATCCAATCCCTTCCTGTATGTCCTGGATCCCCCAAAGTCACTGCCTGACTCTGGAGCTCAGAGAAAACAGACTGTGTAAGTTTGTGCACAGGCCCTTTAAGAGGAACTGCTTGGGTCTCTAGCACCCTCTGTGTCACTCAGTCATAATCCCCACTGGTTTTTACAGCATGAAGTTACTTTTCCCAGCTCTGGGACACTGGGCTGGGAATCTAGTGTGTGGCTGCGACTCCTTGCTTCTCATGGGAGATCTCTGCAGCAAAGAAATCCCTCCTGATTATAAAAACATTACAGGCTGGTTTTGGTCCACCCTGTTCAATGCCTTCACCCTTCCTGCCAGTCTCAATATTCTTTTTTATTTACTTCTCCAGTTATAGGACTTTTATTCAGCCAGATTCAGGCTGTTCTGAATGATGGTTTTCTGTATTTTAGTTGTAATTTTGATGTGGTTGTGGGAGGTGCTGGGTACCTGCATTTAACTACCCACCATCTTGGTTCCCTTTGATCTCTAAATCCAATAGCATCTTCTTAATCCCATTAATCTATTGTCAGCATCAATCTAAAGGAAGCAAATGACTCATCATTTTTGTATTAGGAAAAGCAATGTAACAGGAAGTCAAAAGACCTGAGTCTTACGAATCAGCTGTGTGACCTTTGCCAACACACAACCTCCCTGAGCCTCCATTCCTTTATCTGAGGAGTTGAACTAAATCTCTAAAGTCACTTCTAAGTCTCCATGTGTCAAGTCCCAGAAGACTATCACATGACAACCATGGCCTGTTACAAATATCTCCCCCCAAGTGACTACTATGACTATATGGGTGTTCTGTGTGTGTGTGTGTTTTTTTGAGGGGGAATGTTGAAAATATTCTAAAATTAGATTATGATGATGGTTGCACAATTGTATAAATATACTGAAAACCATTGAATTGAACATGCTAAATGGGTGAATTTATTTTTTATTTTTGAAATTATGGTAAAATATGCATAATATAAAATTTACTATCTTGTATGTTCTTCGGTGCACAATTCAATGGCATGGTCAGGAAGAGAGAACAGGTGGGCCAAAACCTAGACTAGAGGGAACGAGTACAGGGAGGGGAAGTGGCTGAAATTCAGAATGCTTCATGGGAGTGGGGCAGGAGTAGGATAAGAAAAGGTCAGGAGAGAGAAACTAGAGGCCGATCACTAAGGACTTTGCAATTTAGGTTTGCAAATTAGTTTGGATTTACTCTGACAGCAAATGGAAGCCACTAAAAGGTTTTAAACTGGGGAATGTTGTGATAAGATTTGTTTTGATAGAAGGATGGAAAACGGTCTCTGAATTCCAACAGTATATTTTGTCTATATTTTGGGAGTTAGTTGTCATCTGTACAACCTCTTAGATTCAGATAATTTAAAAGTGCTTGAGGGGTCTTGGAGATGATCAAATCTCAAATATTCATTTTACAGATCAGGCAGCTACCAGTTCAATAGGAGATCAAGCTGACTCCTAATATAGAGCTTGTCCCACTATCTACTCTCCTACCAACAAACTTCTACAAAACCAAGGAGGACTATTAATCACTCTACTGCATAATATATTCAACCCAGTATGTATTTTCTCTTTTATTTTTAAAGTAAAAAGTAATATCAATGATATAGAAATTCTAGAATCTAAACTTGCTGTCATGACCAAGGAGTTTTAAGGGTCTTTGTATCCTCAAAGCTTAGCATGGTGAATTAATAACACCCAAGAAACCTTGCCAATAGTGCATTACAGAGATGAATCTTTTAAGGTTTTTCCCAGTTCTGTGATTCTGTGAAGTCAGGAATTATCTTTCATTATTATGTTCAGATCTAGAAGTGTATTTCATGAGCACAAAAATGATATTCAAGGCTTCGCTCATTTGTTTTCCCATGACTAAATTAAGGAATGGAAAAGAAAACTATTTTTATGTGAAAAGGAGTTCATTTTTGAAAAAAATAAGAGTTATATTTTTAATGGTAACAAGTTTTAAGCAATTTTTGTGTGTGCAAATATTCAACAATGGACGTTGTGCAATTTAAGTTCATAGGCCATCAGAAAAGTAATAACTTTTGTGTTTGCCTCTTGCTGGCATCCCATAATGCCTTCCTTCATGACATGACCCCACTTTTGCTGACACTTTTGAATCAGCCAATGCTCAAGCTGGAAGGGATTTACATATGATGTCATCTCCCTCTTTTTGAACAAATGAGGAAATAGAAACTTCTTGAGCAACAGCCATGTTTTCTCTGTAATTTTCAAGAGTACATGAGAATGAGTTGCATCTAAAATGTTCTAAGAAACAAAAAGACAGAATTATTCCTACTGGCTTTATGAAATTGTTACATAATTTTATCTTTAAATGACAAATATCCCAAATAAATATACATTGTATTATCAAATTGATATCCTAAAACACAATCAATATTCTTGTTTTTTATTGTCTCACCATAATAGGGTTAGTCAATGAAAGAAAAAAAAATTTTGAATACCCAGAGTAATAAAATTCAACCCAATTAAATTAAAAAAAAACCCACACAATTATATAAGCATATAAATGGAGGCAAAAGAATTCTCCTCAACACTAATCTTGTGGCATGAACTATAAATTCTGTTTCTTCAGCCTTAATAACCTTCACCATAGTCATTTTTTATACTAGTTTTTTTTATTGATTGATTGATCCATTATTACTTCACATTGTTCAATTGTGTTTTTCTATTCACCAAGGGACTAACTTTACTGTTTATCAATAAACATATTATGCATTATATTAACATTTAAGAGCCGAATAAGGAATCAAGTAGAGATTTCTCCAAAACCTTGTGCTTGCCCTTGAAGCCTTGCAATGTTTCACATTGACAGGGCAGTCACCACAGTTGGAGAGTGGCCTCTGTTGATGCTGATTCAGTACTTAAGTCAGGCCTTATTGGGCAACTGCCTATATGGTTGAATTTCATGGCCTTGTTCCCTAAACTGAATAATCCAGTTAGCTGTTGCCTTCTCCAGCATGCCTGTTAGAGATTTCACAGAGAAGCTGCCTAACAGTCTCATAAGGGTAACAGCAGGAAGAGAGCCAACTGCTCTGTTTGCCTGGGCATCTAGTCCACCATGCCAGGAGCTTGCAGATCAGATTACTGTATCATCTTTTGTGGGGGGACTCAGACATGATTAATTTATCACAATGACAACCTTTGACTTAAAAGAGAAAACCTGAAATGAACTTAAATCAACAGATTCTAGTGAAAGAGAAGCGGGGGGGGGGGAGCGAGGAATACCCTATTAGTTATGAATGTGGGCCCTGGATTTAAATTACTATATGGGTAAAACTGGGTGACTTACTCAATTTTTTCATAAAAAAAAAACACTCCGAAAAGTTGAGTATATTTAGAATATTACACTAAAATATACACATTTAAAACAAAACTCTTTCTTGCACAAAATAAGCTCTCAATAGTAAGCTACTATTATAATTATCATAATGAAGTGGGACACAGTGGTGGATGCTTCGCCTGTTGCTTGTGTAGGTCTGTCTCACACTATTTTCCTGCTATGCTAACATTTTCATATGTGACAGTGACAGAACTAAACCAACTTCTCTTCAGGCATGTGTTTTCAGCTATTTGTTTATGCTCAGCTCAAATCTTTCTCCATTTGTCTGCCTTTTTTATGGAGACCAAAGGAACCATGTTTATGCAAAGGTTGTGAAATTTATGAAAAGGTTGTTCACCTCATGGCTAATAATGTAAAGTGAATTGAACATGGAATTTGAACTCTAAACTGTGACCTCATGGCCTCTTACTTCACAGAGAAAAGGAATAAATTCTTTCTTTTTTGTTAGAGAGAGAGAGAGAGAGAGAGAGAGAGAGAGAGAGAGAGAGAGAGAGAAAGGCAGACAGAGAGAGATGGGTGAGAAACACCGATTGCTTGCCTCCTGTACACACATAACTGGGGATCAAACCCACAACCTGGGTATGTGCCCTGACCTAGAATTGAACTTGCCACCTTCTGGTGTATGGGACAGCACTCCAACCAACTGAGCCACACCAGCCAAAAAAAGGAGTCAAGTAAGATATCTCACAAATTTGTATCCAGTCCCTAACTCGTTAGCATCCACACTTATTTTTATCTCATCACCCTCCTGCTTTAGGGGAAGCCCTAGCAACCTCCTTCCAAGATTCAGCTCTCTTACCTGCCTAGGAGCCACTTCTACTGTCTCAGAACCTTGTTGCAACAAACACTGTCCTTCTCTCTCTTACTTCTTCTGCCTCTCCTGTCCCGAAGTTCTTCTATTTAGGGTGACCATATAATATGCCGTCTTAACCAGGAAAAGTCAAAGGAAAAGGAGCACTATAAATAATTCCTCAGCCCTAGCCCATGTTGCCTAATGGATAGAGTGTTGGCCTATGGACCAAAGGGTCCCCAGTTCCTTTCTGGTCAAGAGCACATACCTTGGTTGCAGGCTCCTCCCCAGCCCGGGCCTGGTTGGGGCTCCTGCAGGAGGCATCCAATTGATGTATCTCTCTCACATCAATGTTTCCCTCTCTCTTCCACTCTCCCTAAAAAATCAATGGAAAAATATCATCAGGCGAGGATTAACAAAAAAATAAAAAATAAGTAATTTCTCAGAAAAGCTGGGATGACCCCAGGGAAATTTCTCTTTATTGTGAAAATATGTCAAATCACTCCCATATTTTAAAAAAACAAACAAAAATATGGGCTCATTTCTCAGTGCTCTTTTCTATCTCTTACCCCGTCTTGTTTCTCCCTCAACATCAGCTTCTTTAAAGTACAGGGGACCATGTCCCATAAAATCCATTTAACCTCCACTCAGGACTCTGCATAAGGCTGTGCTGGTTGTATACCTCACAGCTCAAGAGGAGTGACTCCTATCATAATTGGAGTTGTGCGATGCACAATTATCCCAACCACACATGGATGAGTGGATAGGGAAGCCTTACCCACTCTGTCCCTCACACTTCACTCAAACTCTCAAGCTAAGATTTTTAACTGCCAAATACCATGGACACATTTTAAGCCTCGTCATCCTCGATCAATTCTCAGAGTCCTTGGCATTACTGGCCATTCTCTTGCTCTTGGATAGGTCGGGAGTCAGACCTCATGGGATTGGATTCCAACTCTACCACTCATAGCATTGTGAGCAAGTTTACTTAATCTGTGTAAACTGGGAGCATCTCAACTGTAAAATATGGTTAATAAATAGTAATTTCTCCATGGAGTTGTTGTCAGGGCCTAATGAAATAGTTGCAAAACACTTAGCACAATGCCTAATACATATGTCACTCTAGAAATGCTCACTATCATTATATTTTTAAAAAAACTGTTTCTACAATATCTCTCTTTCCAAGTTTTCCAACCACCTCTTTGCTTCCTTTCCATCTTTTTCACTAGCTTCTATACTACATCTGATTCTTAATTGTTATCCTGTTTCCTTACCTAGGTATACTTTCTACCCCAGGGGATGATTGAAAACATTTAATAAAAAACTATATATGCAAAAGAGCTTTGTAACCTCTAAATCCCTCTATAAACATGAGGTGTTCCTAACAAAGTTTAATATCTTACCTGCTCCCTCCAACAGTGCTTCTCTGCCTGACTGCTCATTAAAATTCCCTGGAGGGAAGGGAATGAAGAATACCAATGGCTCTTCTTTCTCTCACCTTTGCTCTCCTCTTTGCTCTGCACACCCTCTGCTCCAGTGTCTTCAGATGCCCTACTGAACTGATGGTGTCCACTTTTATATCTCAAGTATAGACTGCTTCCCAGGACTCCAGCTCCATCCATCCCAGCAGTCCTGTTAGTCCTCTCTTCTGGAATGTCTCACAGCACCTCCAAAGTTAACTCATTACAAACCAAAGCATCACCTGCTTCTCCACCAAACCTCCTCCCCTCCCATGTTGTGCCTCCTTCTCCCCATGACCTGTTCTTGACTTTTCCCTAATCCCTCACTCAATACCCAAGCCCTACTGATTCTACCCTCTTAGTGTTTTTTTAAACCATCACCCACATTTCTGCCCCCATTCCTACAACCTTAGTTCATCTCTTCACAAGTTTTTCCTGGAACCAACTGCCACCCAGATAGCCTCCCCACATCTAGGCTTATATTCCATAATAAAATTGGAATATCAGAGGTTCCAACACATCTGTGCACGATGAGTTCTCAGTGATCTATGAAAAAAATGTTGAAAATAATGTTCTGAGTTTTCATAAAGCAATTTCTCCTCCAATGTAAATGTTCACCCTTTGTTTGGAGAGAATGTTCTTCCTGCTTTTAGGGTGTTAAAATAATTGCTTTTGAAGCAGTTGATAGTAGATCATCATCATTATTTTTTCTTTTTTACAAATTAGCATTCTATATTTGTCTCCAAATATTCTTAAAATTTTTTATCACACTGTATACTTTAAAATGAGCAGTTTATTATGCATTAACTGTACCTGAATAAAGTTTAAAAAATGTTTTTCAGGTCATGAAATCTGAAAGCTTATTACATCTATTCTGCACTGTTTCTGGAAGACTCTTTCTAAGATGTATAAATGAATCACGTCATTCCCAATAATCATCATCAGAGTTAAAAGCAATTGCACACTTTTATGTGTCTAGCACAGGGCACAATAACTTTGCATCACAACAAACATGTGAGGTGGTGGGTTCTATGCCTGTTTTAGAGATGGCACAGGCAGCAGGTCATATAGCTTGTAAGTAGTGGAACTGGGATTTGGACCTAGGTTTCACTCACTCAGAAGCCACTGATTGATCATCACCAGTATATTTTTTGTCTCTTTGCTTAAAAATCTCTCAATTATACCCCCAATACTTTAATTTGTCTCACTTGGTATTTGACCTGTGCCTTCTCTCACTTATTTTTTTAACCTGTTTTCACCCTTAAATGCCTGCTTTAGTTACAACAAAAAACTTGCAAACCTGAGAATTTGGTAAATTCTTTCTGGCATCCATGCCCTTGTATGAGCTTGTCCTCCCACCTGGTGTCTCTTTTTCCTGAGTCATCACCTGGCTAGTGCTACTGATCCTTAGAAACTCAGTGTCCTCCCAAAGTAGTCTGTGACCCCACCCAAACAATCACAGTGTCAGCTTCAGAGGGACCAGTGGACGACTCTGGGGACAGCCATGTGTATCATTGGAATGATACTTCCTTGGTAGATATATACTCTGCTTTTGCCTCCATTTGCACGCTCTGTGTCAGACACCTGGTGAGTGCACAGACAAGACAGGAAAGGCCCAGCTCTCATGTAGCTTGTATTTTAGTTGGGAAGATGGCCCATAAACTCCACAATTAAAGAAATGAAAATACAAGATCATCTTACATTGTCATAAATCTTTAAAGGAAACAAACTAAAATGGAGTAATAAAATACGAAGGGGCAGGAGGCTGGAGGCAGCTCTAGAATGAATGGTTAGAGAAGTATTGGAAAAGAAGGCATTTGAGCTGAGACCTGAGCGAAAAAAGGGAGTCAGCCTAGTGAAGAGCTAGGGGACAGATGGTTCCAGGTTCTTCTCACTTAAAGGATGTTTCATGCACAAATGTCTAAAATCTTAACCTTACCTGGCATGTTATCAGAGTCCAGTACACAGTAGTTGCTCAATAAATGTTGAGTTGTTGTTAAACTGAAGAAACTGGGAAGGCTCCAGAGCTGGACTCTGCATCTTTTAGGAGTCTCCTAGCATTCTCTGTTGGGAAAATATTGCTTTGCAAGATTCCTCTAATTGTCTTGGGTAAGCCAGGAAAATAGAACCAGTGGGGATTTTCTATGTTTCTGACTTGTAGACACAACTGTTAACTGGCTCCTGGATATGAGCCCTTCTGGTGGTTTCAAAATTCTATGGATATGTGGGGAGGAATTTTCTATTTTGTCTTTGTGGCTAAGATTTTGTGACGTGTTCCTCTGTTTGTTTCCTACTGTTTATTTTTCCTTTGTCACTTTCCCACCCCTGATCTTATGCCCAAGTGACATTAATGTAGGAATATATGTGTTTCTGTGAGATCAAGATCCTGTGGAAGAGAGAAGTACAGTAATCTTATTACATCTGGTAAAGTCCCGAGAACATTTCACAATTTCGTTTAGTGGAATTTTTGTCTTGCTATCTTCCTTTAAATACAAATACTCAGATTGAGTGTGAAAATGAAAACACAGGTGAGTTCTAAACCAGCTTCAAAGTTGAGAAAATAGGTTACTTCCTAATCAAAGAGAATCTAGGATGAGGGATTTACCCCAAATGCTTTATTTTGTAAAACTTCAAAAACACTCCAGAAATTTGAACAAAGATGTACTTGATTTTCTCAACATACAGGTGGTAGTCTGAAGATTTGAATGGTGAACCCCAGCAATTTCCATTATTCATGATTTTTTCAGCAAAGTTGTATTTTCCCTAAATCCTAGGAAGCTCAGAACACACTTCACCCAAAATACTTTGACATGCTACATAAAATACAGGTCAAACATAAACGGAAGAGAAATGGAAGAGACAGAGGCAGTACACCCAGACATAGAGTCTGCCAAACAGTAAGTGAATGGAAAAACAGGACCAGTCAACACAGATGCCATGCCCAGGGCAAGACGCAGAGGATGGCAGCAACCCCCTGATGGGTTCCTGCTTCTTCCTGAGGAGGAGTCCAGGCCAAGTGTCCTTGACCCTTTCTATGTCCTCCTAGCTCTCAACATTTGCATTTGTAAATTATTCCTGGGCTATTTAGCTAACTTTCCCAAGGGGGATTCAGCAATTACAAAATCATGGACATGAGTGGATTTGTGAAGCTCTTGTAAGTTTTCAGACTGTGTATGGCTTTA